AGTGACTTTCTGTGCAAAGGCACAAAGCCTGGAAAAAGAAGAGTTGGTAGCAGTGTAGGTTTGAAGGGGCTGAGGCTGGACTGGGAATGTAAGGAGACCCAGTCAGTTGTCCAGACCTGAGATGGTGGCAGTGGCTATTTGGAGTAGGACAGAGAAGAGAATTCCAGAGAGGGACTGATTCCAAAATTTCAAGAAAGTAGTGTTGACAGGACTTGGCCATTCATTGAATACCAGGCTGAGAGAGGCAGGAATCTTAAGACAGGTCTATTATTGCAGAGACCTGGTCTCAGGTATTTGAACTGACGGTGATGCTCCCATTGAAATGGGAGCCCAGCAGGAGGAACAAGTTTATATGGAGGAAAGAATGAGTTCCTTTGTGGACACTTTGAGTCTGATATGCCTGTGGGAAGGAACTCTGGGAGCAGTCCCACGGGCAGGTAGCTCCTCAGATGTTCAGGAACGAGGTCCAGGCATATTGGGGAGTGAGCAACAGTTTCTGCTATGAGTGTGGAAGACAAGATCCATTATTTCATCTGTCTCACAGATGTGGCTGAGGTGGATTGATCCCATTGTAAAGCTGAAGCTCTTAACAACCAAAGGACTATAACCAGGTCTCCTGATCCTAGTCCTGTTTGTCTGGCAAAAGGTCCAAACTTGTGGAATCAGGGATGTCTGAGATACATGGGTGGTCAGGCAGACAGGAAAAGAGCTTGGACAGGCCACTCTCAGAGCCAGGTAAAACAAGTCAGCTATTATAGTTATTGTCATTCAGGATGTGAGGTCTGGAAGATAGATGGGAAGCACTGTGGGTTCTGTGACAGGGGAAGGATGTCCTGACCACCATTTCTATTCACCTCTGTCCACTGCTCTTTTCTTGCCCAGACCTATGCAGAGATGGACCCCACAACAGCGGCCTTGGAGAAGGAACATGAGGCGGTAAGTGGGGCAGGGATTCTTTCTGCAGGCCGCCCCCCCTCCCCCACCCACTCTGCTTTCTTTGCTTTGACTGACCATCCACTGCCCTCTACAGATCACCAAAGTGAAGTATGTGGACAAGATCCACATCGGGAACTACGAAATCGATGCCTGGTACTTCTCACCATTTCCCGAAGACTATGGGAAGCAGCCCAAGCTCTGGCTGTGCGAGTACTGCCTCAAGTACATGAAGTACGAGAAGAGCTACCGCTTCCACCTGGTGAGACCACTGGGAGGGTGCTGAGACTACAGCACTGGGAGACAGAGATGGTTTCAGAGGAGTGGAGCACAAGGAAGAGCTGACTGTGGGTCAAGGGACCTGATTCCTGCCTGGCTCCGTCTTTGTTGGAGCGACTTAGGCCAACTTGCCCCTCTGCAGACCTGTTTCCTCCTCTGCGCAATGAGGACAGTAATCCCTACTCTTACACCTTCCTTGGGTCCCTCGCCCTTCACCACGTGTGTATCGAAGGCAGCCCGGTGCCAGTTTCCTCAGTGCAAAAGCAGAAGCAAACACAGTCCCCAGGCGATAGGACTGGAAGTTGTGGACAGATGGGAGGCATTGGTACACAGGAGCTGCCAGGGTGGGGGCCTCTCAGCACCCATGCAGCAGGGTGTTTCTCAAAGGGTGGAATCTGAGGAAACTGTATGCAGTTTAGGAAACAGCGTTGTCATGGATCACAGCCCTCTGGAATCCTCTAGAGCCAGGTCGACCCGGACTCGTGTCTTCTAGCTATGTGATATTCAAGCCAGTTACCTAGTCCCACTGTGCATTGGTTTCTTCATCTGTAAAATAAGCTGTGTTTCTCAGGTGGTTGGGAGGATTACTTGATGTGGGTGAAATGCTGAGCCCAGGATCTGCCCCGGAAACTGAGAGAAGCAGAGATTTGCTTCAGGTCACACTGGGCAGGATGAAGGGCAGCTGGCAGAGAACCTCGGGGTCTAAAGCCTCTGTCTCTCCACCTCCATCCCCAGGGCCAGTGTCAGTGGCGGCAGCCCCCAGGAAAAGAGATCTATCGCAAGAGCAACATCTCTGTGTATGAAGTGGATGGCAAAGACCACAAGGTGACCTGGGTGACCAAGGTGCTTCATGGGGGGCAAGGGGGACTGGTCAGAGCACTGGCATCTGCTGGACAGTGTTCCCTGTCATCAAAGGATAGAGGCCAGCCTTAGGGTGAACAGCCCACCCAGGCAAAGGCCCGTGGGATCATGCTTAGCCTATTACTTGGCCTGTGGCTGGTGCATAGTAAACACATGGGCTTTGGTGCCAGCCTTGGGGATGGTTTTCCTTCTTTCTCTGAGGACTTTTCTCCTGATGGGGTAGTTTAGGTTTGGGCAGTTCTGGAACCTGGAATGGAGATTGTCATGCTTGAGGCTGTTTCTGGAAGGGCTTTCTCTTTCTGCCTGAAGACAAGGTTTGTTTTTCCCTGGGAGGGACTTGCTTTGTGTAAGAGTTCCTGCCAGAGAGCTCTGTGGCTCTGATGGCTGACTTCCTTGTTCCTGGCAAAAAGACTTTAATAGGGTAGGGTGGGGCATTTGGGGTCTACTTCACTGTTATTGAAAACCTGGCCTTTGCCTGGTCAGTCTGGGAAGGTGTCATTAAATGTCCCCATTTCCTGTGGAAGGGCAGTTAAGAGTAAGATGAAGAGGGCAGGTTTCCGAGTGTCTCCTGGCTTGACATCACCCCGTCACTTCCCAGCTGACCTTAGACAAGTTACTTAATGTTGTTTGTTCCTATTTCCTCATCTGTAAGATAGGAGTCATGATAATATTTACCTATCAGGTTGTTAGTGGAATAACTGAGATAGCAGTATTACATACTTAGCATGGTGCCTGGCATCAAATAGGTGCTTAGTAATGGGCCTTTGTTAATACTGGTGACCTGTCGGTCAGCCTTGTGATAAATATGTTGGGGAAGGAACATCCACTGTGAGCCTGGCCCTTGCCCGCTGCTCTGCCTTTTTGAGCATCAAAAGAAGGAGGGGAAGAAAGGGCCCTAACAGGAGACGGGGGTATTTTTGCTGGCTCTGCCTTCTGCCAGCTTTGAGGTCTCAGGCAAGCGCTTTCCCTCCCAGAGCTTCAGTTTTCTTTTAAGTAAACGGGACTAGCAGTGCTGGGCTTACACTGTTGGGTCAAATGAGAGTGAATACAAAAGGTATCATACACCAGAGGGACTCTTGAGGGACCCACAGGGTGCCATGAAGCCAACTGTGAGGTCCCATTGTTCCTCCCTACAGTCTCTGCCCTGGGTGGGTGTCTGGGCCTGCGGCAGGTGAGTCTCAGCGACAAATACAGCCAAGTGGGCAGACTGTTCAGGCTTTGGAGTCAGGCTCAGGGCATTTGACAACTAGTTAACAAGTACCTAGCTTCATGCTTAGCCTTGTGCTAGGTGCTGGGGACATAGCCTTGAACAACACAGGTTTGAACTGAGCAGATCTACTTGCATGTGGAAATCCTGTGCTACTGTTCTGGTAGGGAGCTGCTTCTCACCAGCCTGGCACTTGCAGAGCAGGCTGGCAGCTCCTGCCCGAGCCTCAGTGGGCTCACTGTACTTGCTTCCTGAGCCTGCTTCCACCACTCCCCTCAGATCTACTGTCAGAACCTGTGTTTGCTGGCCAAGCTTTTCCTGGACCACAAGACACTGTACTTCGATGTGGAGCCCTTCGTCTTTTACATCTTGACTGAGGTGGACAGGCAGGGGGCCCACATTGTTGGCTACTTCTCTAAGGTACTGGTTCAGGAAGCCAAAGTTGAGGGAGGGCAGTGAGTATGAGCTGGAGGAGGGGCTGAGCTTCCCCAGAGGTCCCGACCTCTCCCTGCTGCAGGAGAAAGAGTCTCCAGATGGGAATAATGTGGCCTGTATCCTGACCCTGCCTCCCTACCAGCGCCGTGGCTACGGGAAGTTCCTCATTGCTTTCAGTGAGTAGCTCCTATTCTGTCCAGGAAGGGGCACCTGTGGTGCAGTTAGAGTGCCAGGTGGGGCTGGGTTTGCAGGCCCTCATTTCTCCCACTGCCAGGTTATGAGCTATCCAAACTAGAGAGCACAGTAGGCTCCCCTGAGAAGCCGCTGTCTGACCTGGGCAAGCTCAGCTACCGCAGTTACTGGTCTTGGGTCCTGCTGGAGATTCTGCGTGACTTCCGGGGCACACTGTCCATCAAGGACCTCAGGTGAGGACCCTGGGCCCCAACCCTGTCCTGGGCATGCCATCCATCAAGGACCTTGTGAAGGAGGTTTCCTGGAATTCTCCAAGAGGGAAGGGTTCTTCTAAGATTGGCCATGATCTTGTCTCCTTGTCCCCTTTGCTGTCCCAGCCAGACCCCACAAGGGAACTCTCCCAGCATCTGCTCCAATCCCTTTCTGCAGCCAGATGACCAGCATCACCCAGAATGACATCATCAGCACACTACAGTCCCTCAACATGGTCAAGTACTGGAAAGGCCAGCATGTCATATGTGTCACACCCAAGCTGGTAGAGGAACACCTCAAAAGTGCTCAGTATAAAAAACCACCCATAACAGGTAAGTGAGGGGCTATGAGGGTATGCGGTAGTGGGTAGGTATTTAGGTGTTAAGGACTACCGGGAGCCACAGCTTCCTTTTTGCTGTCACATGATCCTAAACCAGTCTGACCAGTTCCCAGGACTAAAGCCTGGGGCAGGCTACTCATGCCTGGGCCTCCCTGCCCCCTCCCCAGGACTCAGTCTACCCTTGTGCTCACCTAGAAGCGAAACGTGGCCCCGGGCCAGCCCAGCCCAGCCTCTCTCATGCCTCTTCTCCCCACAGTGGACTCTGTCTGCCTCAAGTGGGCACCCCCCAAACACAAGCAAGTCAAACTTTCCAAGAAGTAAGTGACCCGTGTCCCTGCTGCTGGACCTGCACCTCCTTGGCCCCTCACCTGTAAATATGTACAGACTGTTGTACCATTTTTTTTAAAAAATAAAGTAAGTTCTGCCAGTGGCTCTGGACTTTGGAGGTGGGAGGAAGAGGCCAAGGGCTGATGTTCTTCATGGCACGTCACACACAGCCAGTTGTGCTCAAAACATTTTACTCCTTGCTCCTTCTACCCTCCACCCCGGGCCCAAGCCCAAGCCCAGTTCCGGTGGGGGCTCAGTCCTCCGGAGTCCGGGGATCAGGGCTCAAGGGGGGCATGGCAGCCAGTGGGCACGGTTGAGTCTTTAAAAACATGCTGCTCAGAGGCAGCCCTAACCCAGAAGACAGCAAGAGGGTGAAGCTGTGGGGCTCATCAGGCAGAACAGGTTGGGCCCTGGAGCCAGCCCTTCAGCAGCAATCAGCAGGGCAGTTGCCCAGTTTTCTAGAAACATAAGAGCCAGGGCACAATTTCTTAACTAAGGCTCCTTGGGGCTCCATAGGAGCCCCACCAATAGGCTTGTACACAGCAGGTGGCCAGAAGTTCTAGCCAGTACCACTCCTGGCTTTGAGTTGTAGCTCCAAAGAACAAGCCCAGCCCAGAAGAGTGGGCTCAAAAGTCAGTATGGTGCCTGAACTTCTGAACGGTCCTGGGAGGAAGGAATGACTCAAATGCCCGAAGCATATGAAGGAGTGGCAAGGTCCATTCCTAGGAATGGGCATCTGTCCTTGGGTACAACATGGAGATCCTGGAAGCAAAGGTTGACTCCTAGGGCGAGTCACTCAGGGCTCTGTCATGGGTAGAGGAGGCCCAGGGTCAGAGCTAGTGGCAGCAAAATGATGCGCCCCAACAAACCCTGGCCTGGAGCAGAGTTGAAGGGCAGATGATTCCTGCAGAGGTGGATATCGGGCTGGGACTCCTGGATTTGGGGAACCACCCGAGGCTGGAGCTCTGCTACATGGTAGTGAATCCAGGAGGCATAGCTGGAGGTCATCGTATACACACCAGGTCTGTTGGGGGCCCCACAGGCATCACCCCAGCTCACGATGCCTGCCAGGTACCAGAGGCCACCAACGGAGCAGGAGAGTGGGCCCCCAGAGTCACCCTGAGGAGAAAAGCCATACAGCAGCTGTCAGGACCAGGCCCCAGGCCTCCAGTTGCCCATGCCAACCCTCAGTTCCCAAGATGCCCTTGTTTCATGTGTTCCCCTGGACCCTCTCCCTGCATTTACCTGGCAGGCATCCTTGCCCCCCTCTACATAGCCAGCACACACCATGTCCTGCTGGATAGAGTGGGGCTCATTAGGCTTGGCGTCGATGTTGTACAAGCAGTTACAAGTTTCACGACTGATCAGTGGCACCTCAAGTTGCTGCAGTTGCCTGGGGGCCTGGAGGCTCACTGTGGGGGCAAAAGATGCTTAGCCAGGGCCTCCTACCCTGAGTCAGGCTCCCTCCATGCCTCTAGACGTCAGCGCCCCACCTCACCTGAGGGGGCCACATGGCCCCATCCAGTGACAGTACATTGGAGGCCATTGGGGAAGGAGGCGTTGGCTGCAGGGAGGCAGATGGGCCGGATGTAGCGAGAGAAGGCAATGGGGCTGTTGAGACGGAGGAGTGCAATGTCCCCCTGGGAACCCTCATGGCGGTAACTGGTGTGGGAAATTATCTGTGCCACGGTGCGGACTTCGGCCGAAGGGGTGTAGGAGTCCAGCTGGTGGGCCCCTAGCTTTACCTCGTACTCTTCCTTGAGGTGCTCCCTGTAAGCAGTGGGGCAAAGGTTGGGACCCAGACCTATTCTGGTTCCTTGATCCCTGTTGCCTTTCGGCATCCAACCCAATTGTGATCCCAGGCAAAGGACTTTTCTGGACCCACACTGCCCTAGTTTTACCCTGTGACCTGTGACCTCTGGCCTTCACTCCTGACTGGTCTTTCAGACTTTATTGATACCCCCTAGACCTAGCCCAAGAATGCCAACCTCTCATCTAAATTGATCCCTGAACTTTGACCTCCAGCCCACTTTTGACTTCCCCTACCTTGCACCCAACCCATTTGGTACCTTGGAAAGCAGTGAGCAGCCGAGAGCACCCACTGATCAGACACGAGAGAACCACCACACACATGGATGCCATCGTAGATGATGCTGACCTGCCAGGGCCACTGGCCAGGGGTTGCACTGTTACCACCTGTGATGCGCGCTTGGGAGGCCACACCGCAAAAGGCTGCTCAGGGAGGAAGGACAGGGGGTCAGGCCCTTCTGGAGCCCTCATACAATGTCCTTAGCCCTGCCACTCCTGAGAGAGCCCAGGAGATCTGTTTCAGAGCTTAGGAAGTGAGTTCACAGAAGTCAGCTACCCGTTTCTCCCCATCCCACTACTAACAGGCACGGTCAGTTTTGCCACCTTGTCATCCTTGACCCATCTGTTACCTCATTCAGTTTTCATATAGCTTCCTTTGTCCCAGGCCTTCCTGCCTTCCATCCCATCCACCCCTTCCAAGTCTGAAGACCTTTATAAATGAGAAATCTGGCCAGGTGACACCCCTGCTTAAATCCTTCCCTGGTTTTACACTGCCCTTAAGATACAGTCCAGATCTTCCATGACACTGCCATCTACTCCACCCATCCATCTGGACACTTCCTGTCACAGACGTGGGGCCACACACTTATTCACTTTTAGATCCTGGCTTGTCGAGGTCACTGCCTGGGATACCTTTCCTCATCCCTACTTTGTGGGGCAAACTTCGCTCTGCTCCTCCTTAGCCTGCCCTGACCTGCTGAGTCAGGCAATGCACCAGAGCTCCCAGGGCCTGTGTCTCACATGACCACTCTGTGTCTGCTTCAACCACACAACCTGGGCACTCCCAGGGCAGGGGCCAGAGTAGAGCCCCATGTACCTGGTGCCCAGCATGGGGATGGGCACAAAGAGGGAGTCAGGGATGTGTGTGTGGAACAAAGGAACAACAGAGCTGGGCTCCCACAGTGTGAGGGCCACCCTACCCCCACTGAGGATAGCTGTTTGGAATAGGGCCCAACTGCCTTCACAAAGTCACCTTCCCAGGAGCAGAGAAAACTGCCCAACCCTGCTCCTCCTCCTCTCCTCATAACAACAATAGCCACTATTTAGTGACTACAAACAATGCAAGGCCCTGAAGGGGCTTTCACTTCCTCTTTGTTCAGGACTCCCCATACAGCCCGAGGAGATAAACATAGTTGACTTCATTTAAAAGGGGGACTGGCCAACCACACAGCTAGTAGGTGGTGAAGCCAGGACTGAGCACCTTGCCTCAGAGTCTAGTGGTGTGCCTTTGAAGAAAGGAGACCTCAGAACAACCCACATTAGGACAGAGACCTGGGTTTAAATCCCAGCTCTGCCACACACTGGCTGTGTGCCTTTGGGCAAGTCACTTCTCTGGACTTTGGTTTCTTTATTTGTAGGACGAGGGCTACAATCCCTGTCTCACAGAGCTATTGGGGAACTCCAGTAAAACAACTACGTGTGAGGCCCTGGGTGGATAGCTCAGTTGGTTAGATGGTCGTCCCAGATATGCTGAGGTTGTGGGGTTAGATCCTTGGTCAGAGCACATAACAAAAGCAGCCAATGAATGTGTAAATGAGTGGAACAACAAATAAATGTTTCTCGAATCAATAAAAGAAAAGTATTTAAAAAAAAAATTATGGGGAAGGGGTGAGACAGCCCGGCAGAGGGAGTGTCAGGCACTCATTACGCACTCCATGGGAACCGGAACCTGTGTCCCTTCTTTTTCCCCTCCTCCATTCCCCTTTCCGCAAGCCTTACCTTCGGACCCGGCCCCTACAGCTCCTGGAAGACAAGGGGGAACAGGGAAGAGTAAGCAAAGTTCCCAGACTTCCTGGCAGCTGCCCCTCCCCCCAGAAGCCAAAGCTGACGAGCTAGGGAGCTGGGAGTTCTTGAGCCCAGGATAAGGGACAAGCTCCAGGAATGGGTTAAACCCTGGCCCCGTGCATCACGCCGCCCCCCCCCCCCCCCCCGCTACCCGCACATGCTCACTCACCCAACCCGGTCCGGAATAGTCCAAGCAAAAGCAGAATTGCCATAGTCTCCAGCTGCCTAGGCCCCAGGCTTGCCCTCTGGGCCATGGCCCAGGATGAGGGCCCCTGGGGAGACACCAGGCACCAGGCACTCAAGGGAAGGCACCAAGGACTGGTTTCGAAGGCAAGATTCAGGTGTTGGGCCCAGAGAGAAGGGATGTTGGAATCCGTGCTGGGAAGATTGGCGCAGCTGTCCAAGGCTGGCTTTGAAGGCAGCAGGCACAAGGGGAGACGATGGAATCTCAGCAACCCTCAGTGAGGACACGTCTCCAGCACTGCCTGGCTCCACAGAAAACTTCAGAGTGGCAGCTCCTTGGAGAAAAGCACCTACCTGCCCGCCCATCCCTTGGCCCCGCCCTCCCTACGCAGCTCTGCCAGCTTCTTACTTCATCAACGTCCGGAATCCTCCCAGACCCCCAGGTGTAGGTGGCGGGAGGGGGGAGGGCGCCTGCGCACAGGCGTGCGGGGGTGGGGTGGGGGTGGCGGTGGTCAACCAGAGAGCAGCCCGGGGCAGGGCTGGAAATTGGAATGTCCGATGGTCCAGCTCCCCCGAGGGCCACCCAGCTTCTTGGCCCTAGGTCTTTCAGGTCTCCCAAACCAGTTATGCCTCCCAGGGGTTGGCTCGGCCAAAGACGCTCTTCCCCTCCTCCCTTCTTAGGTCTCGTGTCTGAGCCTAGGACACCTGGGTCTGCCCCAGGCTAGGGACGGTTCAGGGCCTTCTATAGAGCCTGCAGCCTCATTTGTGTATGATGAGGTGAGGTGAGCGTGTCTGGCAGTGCCAATCATCTCCCAAATATTTACTGGGTGCCTCCTCTGTTCCAGGCACAGGAGTAAAAACAGACAGCATCCCTGCCTCCTGTGAGCTCACCCTGAAGTAGGGATGACACCTTGCCTCAAATAACCACAGAAGCAATTACGGCATAATTTCAAATTAGGAACTGTGATAAAGAAAGGATAATGGGGGTTCTGGGAGCCATTTACAGGAGCATGACATAGGGTGGCATCAATAAGGGCTCCTCGAGGAAGTGCCTTCAGAACTGAGAACTAAAGAGGTTATGGAAAACTGTTGACAAGACAAAGGTGGGGGAAGAGTGGTTTAAGTGAAGCATTTTCAGGTGGAGGGCACAGGTGGCACAAACTCAGGAAAAGAAGACCCGAGTGACTAGGTCAGGGTTTGGGTACTTCCTTGGTGAGCCTGAGTCTGTGGGGCAGTTGCAAATGTGTATTGGCTTCAAGGTTCAGAAAAACAGAGCCCTACTTCCTTACCTACCTTCCTCAGGTTAGGTGTCCGGACCTCTAAACCAGGCCCAGGCTGGAGTGGGTGAGAGGACAGAATGAAGGCTGACTCTGAAGTGGTCTAAGTTGGGGAGGAGGGGCAAGCCCCTGAACACTGTGGGTGTGTTTGGGCGGAAGATGGGGTGTATTAAATGTTTGTGAGGGGTGGCATATGGGTGACTGGGTACGGGGAGGAAGTAGGCACATATGTCGCTGTGGAGATTCAGGGGAATACTCTATTTGGGATACGGCAGCTAAATGTAAGCCTAGACCTTTAAGGGCCTCTGCCCATCTCCTCAGTCCCCCAGAAAGATCTTCCAGCTACTCTTAGATGTCCCTGTCCCTATCCTCTGCCTATTTGACCCATAGATTTGACTACAGCCCCAGAGGTGACCCCTCTACCACCTTCCTCAGCTGGCTTCCATCCCAAGCACCTCCGCTCCCTAGGTCCCCATTCACTCTTTTTTCTGTGTTCAAACATCACTTCTATGACCCTTTCCTGACCCCCAGCCTGGGTTGTCCATATAGTTCCCCACCACATAGGGACCACTTCATGGGCTTATCCCTCAGACCCTGGATGTGCCATGACTTAGTAGTTAGCAGAAAACATGCTTGAATTAATGCAGGGAGATGAACCAAGAAGTGGTGATGGGACTCAAACCCTAGGGGCACTGGGCAGGATGTGAAAGTCATGGACCCTTGAAGAGTACAAATGTCATGTGTGTACTGGGGACACTGGAGGTATATACTTTGAGACATCATTCGTCAGGGTGTGTAGATGGGGGCAGTGGCTCCCTGTGGGTATAGTAGATTGTAGACAGACCCTGGACTCTCAGACTTCTGGACCCTTCCTTCTATGACCCTCACCCTCAGTTCTTCTTACTTTGGGGAGATGGGCAGCAGGATCAAAGCTAGGGCTGAGGCCCTGGCTGGTATAGCTCAGTGTATTGAGCATGGGCCTGTGAACCAAAGGTTCAGTGGTTCGATTCCCAGTCAGGGTACATGCCTGGGTTGCAGGCCAGGTCCCCAGTAGGGGGTGCATGAGAGGCAACCACACTTTGATGTTTCTCTCTCTCTCTCCCTCTCTCCCTTCCCCTCTCTGTAAAAGTAAATAAATTATTAAAATAAAAAAGCTAAGGCTGAGGTGTCCAGCAGGTGCTGGGGATGATAATTCCACTGGGGAGGTGACACACACCCAGCTGGCCACCCAACCTCCCCCACCCTTGGGCAGGAATGAGGGACAGCTGCCACGTTATCAGGGACACATTTCCTGGGAGCCCAAGGCCTGACTCACAGAGGCCCAGGAGGGAGGGGTTCTACCCCTTGTGCTTCCTTCTAGCCCCCCTGCCTGCCCTCAGCAATTCCATAAGGCTGTGTGTTTTTGTTTACACCTTTATTGTCCACTCCTGCTGCCCCCAAAGATTCCAGGGCACAAAATATCCAGGCACTGAGGCCAATTATCTGAAGCCACTGCACTCTAGGTGGGTGGGGGAGCTCTGGAGGTTCTGGCAAAGGGACTGAAAGCCGGTTAAGTCACATTCCAACCCCACTGGAAGGGAAATGGAAGACTGGAGGGGGTGGGGAAGGAGAAGGAGAGGTGGTCCAGGACCCAGACCCCTCAGACATAGATTAGGGGGGTCAGTAGCAGCAGGAATAGAGAAGCAGGAGGGAAGCCTGAGGCCCCAGCCATGTCCAGGGGACAGAGATTGCTGCCTTCAGGGGGCCAGTAGAGGGAGCCACTGGGGGACAGGAAATGGGCCTCTCCCACCGTCTGGGAGATCCAGGCCTCTTCAGCGCCAATAGAGGCAAACAGCTCCTGGCTCCCTCTAACAGCCATGCCCACGAGGACCCAGGAGCCTCCTTCACCCTGGCACAGCAGTGGAGGTGCTGAGGCCACCTGCATAATAAAAGCCAAGGCCAAAAGGGTCTCTTACCCTTCTTCCTGATCCCTTGCACCTTCTCCTAGGGTACAGCTACAAAGTAGTGCTTGTCTCCATCCTTAGGCATCCGGGCCCCTGGTTGCTTTCCAAGGTCCGACCAGGAAGCACTGCTTCTTCCCATCTGGGGCCCAGCACTCAGGAATTTTAACCCTGTTTTCTCTCCAGTGTCTAGCTGCCCAGTACTGCCTTTCCCCTCCCTGGACCAGGATGCCCAGGCACCTGTACCTCACACCTGTCTTCCTGCCCCTCTGCATACAGGACGCAGAGAGTCCCAGGAGGCAGAATACCCTGATAGAGGCAGTGACAAAGTTGTGGTGTCAAGATGGAGACAGCAGCAGCCACAGGGACTAGAGAGAGGAAAGAGGGATGTCCAAGGGATTCTGGCCTCCAATCACTTCTCATCCCTAGGACCCAGGGTTCTCACCTCGGTCCTGGGGGTCCTTCCAGCCCAACACCCAGCAGCTGCCCCCCAGGGGGATTCCCCCTGGGTGAAGGCAGATGGACAAGGCTGAAGGGGAGGGCTCCACCCGGGAGCTCAGCTCTAGGAGGGCCAGGGGAGGCCGAAGTCCCAGGTGCCGGGGCAGCCGGATGCTGATGACCAACCGGGATACCTGGTGGCCCTGTGGGAGGGGGCTGGCCCCTGTTCGGCCCAGGTACACTTCAATATAAGGCACTGTTGTAGAGCCTGGCCTGTTGGAACAAGGCCCAATATTATCTCCTGCCCACCCTCCACCCTCATCCCTTGGTGGTAAAGTCCTTCCCAGCCCAAGGGAAAGGCTGGAATGAATCTCTAGAGTCATTCCACTAACTCCTTTATTATTGCTCCTTCCTAATCTCTTCCTTTTCAAAACACTTCACACAAGTTTCCCTGTGCTCTAAGAGCCCTTAAGGGAGAATACCCCACTATTGCAAGAGTTCTTCCACCCATCTCCGAAATTTTCCCTCCTGCCCAGGAGATGGGTGAGACCCACCTGAGTATACAATGAGTGGCTGCCAGGACCCAGCCTGGGGCCACGAGGATCCCAGTGCAGACTCGATCACCAGCCACGTGCACCTCTGCCAGCCATGGCCACAGGAGCCCCATCGGAGCAGGCTCTGGCCGCAGGCCGCAGGCTAGGGAGAGGAGGTGACCACCTCAGTGGGGGTCTCACAGCTAACCCCTGAAGCCCCTGCCACGGATTTAAGCACCCCTAAGAACTAAGCCCCAGAGGCCCGCTCCTCACCACCATGTTCTGTGTGGGGAGGACAAGTTTGTGTCTCAGTCTCCTCCCCCTCAGGGCCCCAGTCCCAGGTCAGCTGGTCCTCTAGGTAGGCTTCCCGAGTCACATGGCTGATCCATGGGCCATGGGTCTGAAGAGGGTAGAAGGCTCTGGGACGTAGGCAGCCACTGGAGAGGTCTCTGATTCCAGCCAGGAACCAGGTCCCTTCCTCCCGGCACAAAAGGCTCCAACTGGAGTAGTTCTGCAGCAAGAGAGGCTGTTACCAACCCTTGCGTTTGCGTGTGTGTGTGTGTGTGTGCGTGTGTGTGCGCGCGTGTGTGTGTGTAAGTTGACGAGAGGATATCAAAGATCCTGGGGTTTTCCCAGACCCCACATTCCTCCTTTCTCAGACATAAGTCCCACTTCCTCCAAGTCAGGTTCCATTAATAATCTGCATAAGGATGCCAATTAAACCCAAAGGTAGAGAGAAAGCCCGACAGAGCCTAGAGTTGCCTCAGTCCCCTCCCAAAAGTACCCCCGAGCCAGGCTCCGCCCCCAGGGTGTTCTGGGCCCACCTAACGCCCATCCCTGCCGCCCCCGGAGCGCTCAGCCTTTCTGTCAGCCCCTCAGGACCTGTCCACAACCTCCTCGGCCTCTTTCTGAGTCCCAATCAGGCCCTCAGGCTCCGCCCCCGCCACTAACCCAACAACGGGCCGACTCTTCCTCCTCCTGGTAGGCAGGGCAAAGCGCGTGTGGTGGGTCTCCCGGCGGTGGTACGGTCGCCCCCTGGCGGCCGTACAAGCAGTGACACCACCAGCCGCTCAAGAGCTCCGCCTCAAGCAGCGTGTTAGGGCCGGGAGCAGGTTCTGGGAGAGAAAAGGGAGTCCGCGCGCAGTGAGGTTGGGCCTGGTGCCACCCGGCCCTGCCGGGTGCTGGGCCCCTGCTCACCGCCACGGCCCCAGCGAGCTAGGCGGCATCGGCTTCCGGGCAGGAAATAGTGTTCTGGGTGAGGTAGGCACACCGCCCGTGGGGCCACGCTCAGGTTCACGGGCGCGTGCAGCTGCAGTAGCACCAGGTCCGAGGCGTGGTCCCAGGAAGCGTTCTCGTGAGGCACAAGGCCTATCACCTGCTCCGCGCCCAGGCGCGAGGGCAGCAGCACGCGCCAGCTGTCCAGGTCTCGGGGCTGGCGGTCTGGGCGGCTGCGGCTGCGGAATGAGAAGATTGGGGACGTGGACTGCATTCCGCATCCTGGGCTGGAAACCTCTCACCCCTGACTGACTTAGGCTCCATATCCCAGGCTAGGATTCTGTTTCTGGGGCCAGAGAACTGTGCACTCAGAGTCCTGCATCCTGGATCGAATTTATACTACCTCTCTACTCGCCCCCAATAGACCAAAACCTTGCTTTGCGATTCGATCCTACATCTCCCAAGGAGACCCCTCCCCCACCCCACCCCCACTTCAGACTGAGGGACACCACCCACCCAGGGGTGGGGCCAAGTAGATAGTGTCTCAGGCCAACCGGGGAAGAGCAGGAATCCGTCTGAGATGTGGGTTTTCACTCACTCCAGAAAACAGCTGGCAGGTGCCAAGACCCAGGTTTCAGACACCAGCACCCCATGGCAGGGTCTGGATCCTGGCACTATCACTTGAGCTTCCCAAGGCCAGGCCCCTGGCCTCTGGGCCTTCCCGCACTCTGAGGGGTGAGAGGCCTAGGTCAGTGGGCCTCTTGAACCCCCAGCACTTTCCACCCCAACTCAAATATCCCACATTTACCAGACATCCAGGGGTCCTATCCCCTCACCTGGCAGGGCGATTGTGCAGTTTTCATCCATGGGCTCCCATGGGCCTGACTGGGGTCCCTGGGACTGGGTGGGAAAGGCAGGCCCAGGCTCGGAGCCCATCACCTGTTCCCGGATCCATGCCTCATAGGGAGCTACAGCAGTGAAGACTCCCGGGCGGTTCCTTCGTCCACAGCCAAAGCCAAAGCTGGTGATTCCTGCCTGGAACCATCGTCCATGTTCCTCACAGACTAGGGGTCCACCAGAGTCTCCCTGAAGATAAATGATTCAGTGTCAGGGGATCAGCCCAGGGATCCACCCCATTATACTGGGCCATGTTCCAAAGTTTCTACACCTCTTCTTGTTGGCCCAGCACACAGCCACCTTCTCCTAGGAACCTGCCTTGGCTGTGTTAACTTCTGTATTCCCTAAAACTCTAGAGAGAAGAAAGACATGTAAAGCAGAAAGGCTGGTGATGAACAGACAAGCTAAGAGAACCAAACTAATGCATTAAAAGCCATACCAGAGAGGCCTGAAGGTCTCACTCACAGCCAAATAATTCTTGTTCAATGAATAGTTCAAATAAATTCTGTCTTGGGTTTCTAAGTTCATCCAATTGTTAAAGTAAATCAGAGGTGCCAGCATTTAGAAGGCTGTTAAAAATAGGAAATCTAAAAGCAGCAAGAATAGACAAGAGGAAGAACTACAATGAACAGACACTAAAACAATGGTTCTGGACTATTTCATGCTTAGAGGCATCGTCCCTCAGATATCTCTGTAGTCCAGATCAGGCATTTCTGTGACCTGAACTGGGTCACAAAGAAGGCTCAGAATCATCTAGAATGTGCTGTCCAATAGGGTAGACACTAAATAAAATAAAAAAATTAACTCTTAAGTTACACTAACTACATTTCAGATGTTTTTCAAATGTTCAGTAGACAATGTGGCTAGTGCCTACTATCCTGGACAGTGCAGATATAGAACATTTCCATCACTATAGGAAGTTCTGTTGGACCGCGCTGGTCTAGAGCAATTTGAATTGCCCACAATCCTGTTCAAGAAGACAGAAGATTATGTCCATAGGTCCTGGAACCTCATAACTGGGAGGGACCCTGAAGACCATCTAGCTTGAATCCCCATCACCACCATGCATCTGAGTACTGGAAGAATGTGTGTCACTTGAGGAAGGTTTCTGGGAAAAATGATTAAAATATACCATATTTTGGCCTGTAGCAGATTATCTGGAAAATTCCCTTCTGTGAAGGATTAATTCATTTTTAAAGATGAGTATTTATTAATTATCTATTAACAAGTTCTGTGCTGTCCTTCTTCTACATCCTCATATCAGGGATGGCCCCAATAGGCACCCAGTGAGAGCTGGGAAGTAGGGTTATAATAATATTAATAGCTAATGCTTATTTAGCTTTTACTAAGGACCACACACTGTTCCAAGTGTTCTTACATATACAAATTCATTTAATCATCATTACCACCCTATGATCTCCACCTGCCAGATGAGAAAGTCTGGACATAAGGAGGTTAAATATCTTGGCCAAGGTTACACAGCTAATAATTATTACACAGCTAGTAATTATTACACAGTTAATAATAAGTGGGAGTGCCAAGCCTCAAACTAGGCAGACTCACTCTAGAGTCTGGTGTGTAACCACTGCACTATACTGCCACAAATAACAGTTGTTGAGCCCCCAGTTCTATCCATTTATAATCTTCACATCTCTCCTATCCATTGGCCATCTAGTCCTCTTTCTGCAGATAAAGTTCAGAGATATGAAAGAGAGGGGATTTTCCTGTTTCTCACACTGCTTTCTATTGGTTATGGCTCTGCCTGGCCCTGTCAGGCAGGTGCAGGGGCGTCCCCTCACCTGGCAGGTGTCCCTGCGGCCCTCTCGGTAGCCAGCACACAGCATCCCTGGTAACAGCTGAAAGGTGAGGTTGAAGGGGCCAGGCCGGCTGTAGAGACATTGACAGGCAGCTTCTCCAAGCAGCCTTAGCTCCACTTCTTGCAGCACCCAGGGGAGAGGCAGGGGGTCTGAGGGAAGAACCAGAGAGCTAATGCTGTGAGGCAGGCATGGAGTCCCCTGTTCCTCAGAGCTCTGCTTTTTCCCCTCTGGCTGCCTCCTGGCCATCTCTATCTAGATGCCTCATGGCACTGCAGCCCACTGCTTCCAAAACCAAACATCATCTCCTCCTGCTCCTCTGTCCTTCCTACATCCTCCTCTCAAGAATGATCCCATCAAGCACCCAGTGAGAGCTGCCATGTATGATTTTGTCCTGCACAAAGGTCTCCAGCCAAAAAAGGATGACTGTGGGAGCTAAAATCACTAAGCTCTGCTTCCTGACACGGGCTGTGTCAGTCCTAAGAGGGTCCTCTTCAACAAAGATGCCACATACACTACATGCAGTCTTGTGCCAAGTTGCTATGTATGGAATCTGGTGTCATTCCTGATCCATATCTCAATTTCCCCTCCCCAATAAGTTCCCAAGTCCAGAAAACTTCTCATTTTCGACCTCTTGGCATTTTTATGGCAACTGTCCTAGATCAGGAGGCATAACCTTGGGCCTGGAGGAGTGGCCCGGCCTCCTCACTGATCTGTTCCACAACCCACCTTTTGCTTGTTGATGCCAGAGAAATGTTTTTAAAAGCTCCGCTCTGATCTTACCGACGAATATCAAATGGATCCCACTGTCTAAACCTGAGGCCTCAATCCTTTCCTGAGGTGAACCGGCTTTTAATGGAGACAGAGTCTCAGGACCCAGAAAGGGTAAGGGAGAGTGTGGGCAAAGCTCCTTCCCTCCCCACCCAGAATCCTGAGAGGTCAGGAGACGGCTGAGGCTAAATTTGAAGGTCAACCAGGGAAGTTCAGGAATTGTCCTGGTGATCCCTGCAGCTGGTGGGGTACACTGGCCCTCAGTCTGACCTTAAGGCCTTCATGGTCCAGCACTAGGAGCTTTTGTAGCCTCTGCCTCCTCCACTTCAGCCTGGCAGCCTGACTCTTCTCCATCTACTCCTGGGTCTGCAGGGTGGCCTCCATCTTCCCCTGCCTTCCTGTTATGCCCACTTATGTCCTGATTTCACACAACCTCACCAGAAATCTCCTGCTGTGGGTGCCAACTGTCAGGATGGCCTGTCCCCATCCACGCAGACTTCCTAAGGGCTCAGACTGGCCTTTTCTTGTTATGTCCTGCCCTGATGGGGCCCCTGCAAGCAGAGGCTGTGGCATCTCCTCTCCAAGTACCCTCTCTAAAGCTCCAGGCATTGCAAGGGACTGATCACAAATGTGGAATTATCATGGGGGATCTTGCTAATATGGAAAGATAACATTGGATAGTGGGGATGATGGGGAATGGAAAAGTTATTTATTTCTCCCTATACTTTCTAACATAAGTGTTTGCTTATTTAGCTAAATAAATATTATTATTTACACATTAGAATGCAGACTCTGAGAAGGCAGAAATTTTTGCTTGTTATGTTCATTGGTGTATCACTAATGCCTAACACAGTGCCTGGCACAAGAATGTGCTCAGAAAATATCTGTTGAGTAAATGAAAGGTGGACTACATGAATGAGAGTGATGAGGGTGGGTAGGGAAAAGACAGAAGGTGGGGGGTAGAGAGATGAGTAGGGGGAGAATAGGGTGGGGGGGAGAGAGGTGGGAGGAAGGGGGTAGGAAGAGAGGAGGACAGAAGATGACATTTGCTGAAAGCCTGCTGTACACCAGGCGCTGTGCTTTAGTGCTGGGATCCTAGGCAGGGTGACCAGCCCGCAGCCTGTGGGGCCAAGTGGGGCCCAGGATGGCTAGGAATGTGGCCCAGTGCAAAATCGTAAATTTACTTAAAACCTTTTTTTTCTTTGCTCATTAGTTTTCGTTATTGTTTGTACATTTAATGTGTGGCCCAAGGCAACTCTTCTTCTTCCACTGTGGCCCAGAGACTCCTAAAGGTTGGACACCTCTGAAAAATATCTAAAATGTATTAATTAGTGCTATGCTATTCATTCTGTTGGAAGCTTTATGCATTTTCTCATTTAATCCACTCAGCAACCCTGAGAAATGGGCCCTATTTTCCTCAGTTTTCAGAGGAAGAAATGGACTGGGTGTAATGCTTTGTCTGAAATAGCGGACTGGGATGAGAACTCTAGTCTGAACCTAAAGCAGGAAAGACAAAACTGGAAGGAGAGGTGAGGAGGGAATGGAATGGGGGTTATGAATCCGTCCTAAAGAGCCCTTGGGGAGGATGACTGATGGAGCTTGGCAAGGCACTCAACCTTGGCTGAGCAAGCCTGGCCCCAGGCCCCGCCCCGTGGGGCCCCATCTCCCCAGGGCCTGCCCCTGGGCCCGCCCACCTCGGGGCCCGGCTCTTCGGACTCGCCCGTGAGATCCCGCCCAGAGGACCCTTCGGTAGGCTCCACCTCTCCGAAAACCCGTCCAGGGCTCTGACCGTCTCGCTCACCGGCCTCCTGTACATCCCCCCAGCCGGTGGCCCAGCAGGCCGTGCCGTGAGCGAAGCGGTGTGAGGCGCGGGGCAGGCAGACAGGCTTCACGGCGGGGCCCAGCCTGGCGGGCGAAGCCAGGCGCAGGAGGGCCAAGTCGGCTCCCAGTTCCACGCTGCTGTAGTTGTCCGGCACCAGGATGGCCGCCACTGCCCGAACGTGCGCGGCGTCCAGGGGCCCGTCCTGGGAATGCACGCCCAGCAGTACCGACCACTCGGCCGCGGGCTCCAAGGTCCCGTTGCTGCGCCAAGGCCGAGGCGGGAGGGGGTTAAACTAACCCTAATGGAGGGCAGATTCTCGTGGGGGTGGGGGCTCAGAACTTGGGAGGAGGTAGGGATAGCGGGAACCCAGGACGGGCGGAGTCGGGTTCACTTTGGGGGCTGGGGCAACCGAAGTTAAGATGGCCTGGAGGCAGTTGATTGGGGGTATGGGAACGATGGAATTCAGACTTGGATACTTAGCAGCCTTAACACTCAGAACCGGGATACCTCGCAGAGCACCTGGCTTCCGGTTAGGGCAGGGAGGCGGGGGTGGGGTGGGGCAGCTAGTCTCCAAATTAGCTGAGTACACGGGGTCAAAGCTGCGAGGCAGGTTTGGCTTTTGAAGGAGAGGAGCTGGGCACGGGTGAATACTCACTCTACGAAACAGTGAGCAGCTGAGAGGACCCACGAAGGGGCGATGAGGGAGCCCCCGCAGATGTGGCCCCCATTCTGGTGCAGGCTCACCTGCCACGGCCAGCTGCCCGGCTGTGCGTCTGAGCCCCCCATGATTCTGGTAGAGGACTCAGGGCGACCACAGTCTGCAGTGGGGTACCGTGGAGGTCATATCCCATCCCTGTCCCTCACCGCAGAGGCCCAGGTTACTGAGGACAAAGCTTCGTCCCCAACTCGCTTCAGTTTGCCCGCCCCCTTACCCCAAACAAAAAACAAAGTAGATCTACCCACTTCTAAGTTTCTGGTCATTTCCATCTCTCTCATTGCCTAAGCCAGCCTTAACCTCCTTTTAGATCTCGGCCACCCCCTTCCCACTCCCATTCCCCTCTTACCCAGATCTTCAGATTCTTCCTGAGTAGGACTGAGAGCTGGGAGTCAGAGGGTAAAAAGAGGAAAATATTGATTTCTAGCCCCTGATACTGCCCAGCCCTCACCTTCCTTCTCCATCCTCCACACCCTACCTTCCTTTTCCCTGCCCTTTCAGCACTGCTCCCCCCCCCCCGCCGCCCACCTCAGTACCCGTGCTACCCCTCCGATCTGCTGTGCCTTTGCACCTGACTTTCCCCAGTCCAGCTGCCTTACCTGAGTCCTGGAAGGCTCCTGGGATGGGGCTGATGACTGGAAAGAGGGAGGCAGGAAGAGACTGGAGAACTACACTTACAACCTGCCCTCCCTGAGGCCCTCCCCCCAGGCTTTACAACTACTCCCTCTCCCCACTGCGACCAGGCCTCCGTTCTCCCTCCTCTCATAGGCTGTTTCTCTCCCTCATGACACCTCGCCCCTTCCTTCTTCTCCTGGCCCCCTCCCCTTCTTCTGACACCCAACTCAACAGAGCTCAAAAGTCCTGCTTCCCAGCTGAGATGCTAGGACCCAGGCCCCTTGCAGCCATCTTCTGTCTCCTGAGGTTACCGAGGGTCACAAGTGGGAGAAGCAGGTGCTGTAACATGGCACATTTGAGTCAGCTGGAGCCACAGAGATGAGTGAAGGTCTGCTCCCTGCCACAGCTCTGTCACTGTCTAAGCAGTGTGTGACTCCTGATGGTCCCAGAAGCAGCCCCACCCTCCCTGGCTAGAGCCCATCTCTGGGAATCTGAGAAGATCTGGGCTTGGAAGGGGGAAGTAGGGAGCCTGAAGGCCCAACCCAGAGCCCTGTCCCATCTCACATCTCTGGAGGCCCAGGGTGGGGGTGGGAGGCAGATGTCCTAGTTCCAGGACACCTGTTGGGTGGGGCAGGGAGGAGAGGATAGCCAGGGGCTGGGAGACCAATGTCAGTGAGGCAGGGCTATAGGTGAGCAGTAGCCCTTGGACAGGGAAGGTGGCTTCTCATTGGCTTGCTTCACCTGGGACCTCACCTCTCTTTGGGGTGCGGCTACCCCAGTGGCTTGGGCTCTCACACAGCTCTGGTTACTGAAGTTGCGGCCAGGTCGGGGAAGGGAGCCCTAGGGAATACGATTCCATCCCAACAAAAGGATCACAGATTCCAGCAGGTTGGGCAAGGTACAAGATTCTGGGAGGAGGCTGGGCAGGCTGGCCAAACCAGGAAAAGGCTCCATCCTTCTCTGTTAGAAGGAGTACTTTCAGGGGTTCTGTCACTTATGCTTTGTGTGACCTTGGGAAAGTCACTCAACCCCCTCAGTGTATTTCAATACAAGCCCACTTAAGAAACATATGACATCTCAAAGAGAAATTGAGGAGAGTTTAATGAAGAACTATTTACAGCAGGGTTAAGGAAAACCAGCAAGGGACAGTGAAGCACCCCGGGGGCTAGCAATAATGGAGAGCCCCACCTGAAGAGACAAAGAGAGGAAGAAGTTACTGAAACCAAGAGAGAGAGCTGCAGATGTAGGCAAGGGCCAGCCAAACATGAGTGCCTTCAGTGGAATGCAACCTCTATCAACCTGTGGCTCAGCAGGGAGGGAGCTGGGAAACAAAAATCCCCATCTCACTCTCCTCCTACCCTCTGATCACCTGCCAGCTCCTTTCATGTGTGAAACCTACCAGAAGCAAGGGAGCCCATGATGTGGCCCATAAACGTCACCCTCTGGGGGAACGAATCAGGAAGCAGAAGGGTGGAGAATGAAAATGGAGGGTGAAGAATAGAGTGAAGAAATAAAATGAGTGTCTGTGGTCAAGCTGCTAAATTATTAACTTCAGATGGGTTGAAGCACAAGAAAAAGATAATTTTTGTTTTAACTGACTCTGAGAACTGAAGGTCTTGAAATTTCCAGTCCTACATCAACACCTGGATGCACATCAGTGTGTCATGTGTTAGTCCCTGGACAGACATCAGGCCTTCAGTTAGCCATCGGAATGGCCTCAAAAAGAAAATTTTCCATTGCCTAGACCACTGGACATCTGATGAATACTATCTTGGACCAATTCAAGGCTAAGAAGGCAGAACGGATTCTTCTCAAGAACGTACTTTTTCCTATAAAAGTCTCAGACTCTTCTTTCTCCTTTGGAACACTCTGGGTATTGCTTTAGTAGTATTTCTGGTTTTCAAACCCTAAGACGCTTGAATAAATCTTTGCCATTTCTTTCTAGCAAAGCCTCCTGACCCTTCTTGAGTATGTTTGACTAGGGGTAAACAAAGAATATCCACACATATATATCTATTTTCTTACCAATAATATAATATAATAATAATATTCTATTAGTCCAGTTTCCCTAAAAGCAGAGACTGAGGCAAAGCCTACATGCTTGTGCTTTATTGGGAGATAACATCCTAGGGAAGCAGGAGAGAGGGGAAATGAGAAGTCACATGGGAGTGAAGCAGCGTCAACACAGGAGCCCAACAATTGACTGGATTCCATTGCTTATCTTGCTAGCCTTAGCTAGTGCATGGTGGACAACGAAGGTAAACTTGGTGGTAACAACTTCAGACTAGTTAACACAATCTTGGAGCTTCTAAGTCTCCTCAGTCACTCATTGCTGGCATTTGTCCCTCCAAGGATAAAGAATCGGTAATTTATCCAACAAACAGAAAAATGAGACAACTGGCATTGTTCAAAGGTAGGAAAGACAAGGTGCATAGGGTGTCTCCCTAGAGGAAAATTTTCCCGATTCCTTCCACAAGGTTCATTGCTTTGGCAATCCACTGTGCTATTTAAAGGAGCAAGTCCTATTCCTCAGGTCTGTTAGGGTGGGAAAGGAGTTAAGGATTATTGTCTTACAGTAGCAGTTCTCAGATATGGTCTGAGAACTCCTGGAGGGTTCCCCAAGACTCTTTCAAGGAGTGCCCAAAGCCAAAACTATTTCCATAATGTCAAGTGTGCAATGTAGGTTTACAAAGGCTACTTGATACATGATATCCCAAAAGGCTGCGTGCAGATGCAGGTATGAAAAACACACGTAGGTTTTCATGAACATATAACAGATTTATTATTTTTAAATGGATTAATAAATATTTCCATTATTTCTCAGTTTTAACTTCAAATGCAGTAAATATTGATAGATACAATCTACATAAGCAAAAGCTCTTTTGATTCCTCAACAATTTTTAAGAGTGTAAGAAGGGCCCTGTCTGGTGTGGGTCAGTGGATTGAATGCTGGCCTGTGAACCAAAGGGTTGCCAGTTTGATTCCCAGTCAGGGCACATGCCTGGGTTGCGGGCCAGGTCCCCATTAGGGGGCATGCAAGAGGCAACCACACATCGATGTTTCTGTCCCTCTCTTTCTCCTTCCCTTCTCTCTCTAAAAATAAGTAAATGAAATCTTAAAAAAAAAGAAAGAAAGAAAGAAAGAGCCTAAAGAGGGCCCTGGCCAGTGTGGTTTTGTTGGCTGGGTATCTTACTGCAAACCAAAAGGTTGCTGGTTCAATCACTGGTCAGGACACATGCCTAGGTTGCAAGTCTGCCCCCTTTCAGGGCAGGTATGGAAGGCAACCCATCGATATTTCTCTCTTGCATCAATGTTTCTCTTGGAGAGAGAGTGAGGGAGAGAGAGTGAGTGTCTAAGGAGGTCCTGAGACCAAAATGTTTGAAAATTACTGAATTGGAGCAAGCTGTTTGTAGGCGAGGGTCTTCATGGCATGCGTGTTTTGCTTTAACCATTCTACACTCTCTCTCTCTGCCTTTTCTACCTTTGAACCATGCCAGTTTGAAGAGCTACCCTGGTGGTTCTGATAGTTCCTCCATCCCAAGATACCCTTGTTTGAGAATCACTGATTTAAGCTTCCTAACATCCAAAACAAAGAGATCCAAGCAAGAGTCTCTCTTGTCCAGAGGAACACATGAAGAGGACACTTCGGTGTAATGAAATCTTTTCCCACGTATAATAGTGTTGGGGACCACTTTGTGTGGTATCAGAGACTGTAGCCCCACGCAAGAAAGGCCTTGAAAGAGGCCTGTAAGTCTTGACCAGAATGCTGGGAATGCTGGAGGCAGGCATTCCCAATACTAGCATCGAGGGTTCCTGTGGGAAATCAGGCCCAAAGAATGCATTATACCTCTTGAGGCTTGCTTTGCGTTGCATAGCCTTGTTGCCATGAATCAGATATCTAAGTCCAAAGGCAGAAGGAGTGAACTCCTAATCATGAAACACGCTTTAACGACCATCTGGCGTCAGCCTGTCTAACAGACCCTGACCTGAGGCAGATCTCTGTTACCTATAAACAATATCTGTTTTCTGTAACTATGGCCCTTAGACATTGATTGATGAGCTTTGCATGCATACTGTATACCCCCGTGCATACCAATCCCAATAAAAGCTATTTCAGAGCAGGGCTCAGGGTTTTCTCCACTAGAGGGAATCGCCACCCTCTTTCCTTCCAGAACAACAGATTGTGTCTGGGATGACTCCAAGGGATGGAATTCCCCACATAATATGGCAAAAGCAGCAAAGAGTTTCATAAGGTTGATTTTTTATAGTTCTTCTTAATGTCAGCCAGTAACACTGCAATCAAACCACAGTCAATAGAATACTTATATGGGGGATTCCTCTGGGTAAGAGAGGACAATACATAGATACACAGTTCTCTGCTAGTCTGATTAGTGGAAGGGGAAATGTATTGGTTTTCTATTGCTGACACAACAAATTATCATACACATAGTGGGTTAAAACAACACAGATTTATTATCTTACAATTCTGAGGGTTAGAAGTTTGACAACGGTCTTGCTGGGCTAAAATGATGGTATCATTGGACTGTGTTCCTTCCTGGAGGCTCTAAGGGAGAATTCGTTTCCTTGCCTTTTCCAGCTTCCAGAGACTGCTCTTATGCTTTGGCTATGGCCCCTTTCCTCCATCTTCAGAGGCAGCAACATTGCATCTCTCTGACTCATTTTCTGTCTTCATACTCTTATCTTTGACCAAAACCAGGAAAGGCTCTCTCCCTGTGGTTACTCTACATGGTGTTGGTTTGAAAATTGGTCTCCATACATGGAGTGCAAAGAGAGACTGAAGAAAGAGGTAGACCACTCCAGATTGGTAGGTGGCAGGTTTAAAAGGCCAGGGAACTTGCAGGGAACATGCAAGGCTTGTCTTGGGTGAACGAAAAGATTAGCTATCTGCTCTGCCCACCAAAATTTCAGAAGTTTATATAGAGGGCTGCACTGTGTTCAGTCACGTATACCATCCAGCTGGTGTCAACAACCCATTGCTCTCAAGACTTCGTCCTTTAACATGGCTCTTGCTGTGGGACTAGTGGACAGAACATACAATCCAAGAATAGGGGAGGGGATGAGGAGTCTCTGATTGCTGGAGTCCAGTTCTAGGGTCAGTTAGGGGTGATGTCCTCTCAATGACCTCTTCCAACACATGGTCTCTCCAGTAAGGTAGCTGGATTTCTTGCTGATGGCTCAGACTCCAGAGAGCTCCAAAGCTGAAGCTGCCATGCCTTCTGAAGGCTTAGGGCCAGAACTGGCACAGCACCATTTCTGGAGCAATCTATTGGCTAGAGTGAGTCACAGCCCAGCTCAGATTCAATGAAGGAAGGGACAACTACAAAGGC